GCTTAATAAATGTGTATTGATTGATTGATTTTTCTGTGTGTGCATGTCTCTTTCTCTCTCTATATATGTATATATGTATGTGTGTGTGTATATATATGAGACAATCAATAAACATTTATGGGTGTGTATATACACCCATAAATGTTTATTGATTGTGTATATATAAGTACATTTAAATATGTTATATATTACACATACTGTTATACGCTATATTGTATGTTAATATATAATAACACATATAAAGTTATAATTATGTTTCTATATGTATACATAAACACACAATCGATTCTTGTCACTCACGGTAGTTGTACTCTATAAAGTTGCTATGAAGACTGAATTAGCAAATACTGAACCGGTTCCTCCTAGTGGAAATACAGGGTTAGGTTCCTATGACCTCTGGTCACAATGTTGACCGTAGCACATTCTAACTGATCTCATGTATAGATGGGCAGATTATCTCTTCCTTTTACATACCCTATTGTTGATTCATTAACACTGAACTCATGGCCAACGCACTGCAACTCATACCTGAACAGAGCTTTCCTAACACATGTATTTTTTCGGAAAGGCACTTCACAGTCTTCTGCACTCGATAGCACTTCAGCACTAAGTTTGGGGGCCATTTTAAACAACAAAATCTACAACAAAAAGCTCAAAATATGAACAAACGTGATACTTGATAAACTGCGTAAAGAATACTTATTTACAGTGTATATCACAGCTGAAATAAGGAGACAGACTGTTGTCTTGTTCACCCTCAGCTGGAAAGACGAGAATTGGGCAACTCAGATTTTTCACTGCTCTGCTTGTGTCTAAGAATGACTGGGAAAGAGCCACGAGTGTAGGCAAATTTGAAATATGGAAAATATAAATGATGAGGATTGACTGGAGAGAGAAAGAAGAGAAAGAGAGAGATGTAGATATTAATTAATTAATTTATATTTATGTATAAATGGAGTCAAAAAGACCTGAGTTCAGATCTAATCTTGAACACTTACTCATTGTGTGCCTGACCCTGCAAGTCACTTATTCTGTTTGCCTCAGTTTCCTCATCTGTAAAATGAGGATAATAATAGCAACTACCACCCTGAGTTGTTTTGAAGATCAAATGTGTTTGTATAGTGTTTAGCACAGTGCTTGGCCCATAATAAACACTATATAAATGTTAGCTGTTATTAATGAATTATGTATACATTGTACTGTAAAGCCTTGCTATGATACTGCCTTTGAGTTTCATGCTTAGAGGTAAAACCATCTTATGACATGCTTTTGGTATGTTTGTAACTGAATATCAAGATTAAGGCTGACATATACCTGTGTTACATCAAAATCTAATTTCTGTTAAATAATGTTATGCATAACAAGGTTTCATTGTGTGTACTTGTCTTTGTTTGATTCATGTGTCTGAATGAGATATCCTTCTAGACCAGTTCTGCTTAAACTTTTTCCACTTGCAACCCCTTTTCATGTTTCAACAGCATTTATTGGCATTGAATGGCCTGAGGGCATGCACTATGCAAAGTGCTCATGCTTTGTGTTCAGAACCAACACTGCAATGAAGTTGCATGATGCAGTATAGGCAAGTGCTGTCAGAAACACCTCGGATTCATTATGTGTGTGATTTTTAATTAATTTTTGGTCATTCTGCATTCAGAAACATTTTACTGTTACCAAATTTTTCATGACCCATGGTTTAAGAAGTACTGTTCTAGACCAAGAGTATTTGGCATTTCACAGGCGTGGCATTCTCCACCGTTAAAAGCTCAAACTTTCTGGGAGTTTGTAGAATGTCTTTGAGAGTTGCTGTGGCTGAAAACCTTGTCCTGTAGCCAGCCTGGAAATGAGCATCTCCAACCTTAATTAAGCTGATCCTCAGATAATAGATATACAGTCATTCCCTGGGACTCTAGGTGAAGTTCTTCCAACTTGGTTAGACCAAGCAGATCTTGGAGTCCTCTGGCATAACCTCCAAAAGCCCACATAATATCAAATTAGAACTTTACTAGAGAAATAAAATCAGTGACTAATAATCAAAGTATCAACTATTAGCGTCTTGGATATTTTTCTGTTTTGCATTCTGAACTTTAGTTAACTGAGTCTTAGAGATGCAGAAGGACTCTTAAGGATACTCAACAACCCTATTTTTATATAATATGAAGCTTTTATGATAATTTTTGAAGCAACCATTTAGGAATCCCTAACTGATACCTCCCCATCCCAAAAGCTGAACCAGAAATAGATGTGTAAAAGATTCTGGGGGAAAAAAGCTATAGTCAGACACAGCAAGACTGATCAGTTAACACACTGAAGAAGTCTGCGACTTTTTAACCATCTGCTTTATTACCAGAAGCATTCACTGACAACTCGGAGTTCACTACTGTCTCTGAATTCTGTTTCCTTGGCAATATACTGACAAATGATTCACTAATAGACAAGGAACTAAAAGTGATAATAAAAAAAAAACCCAAACCCTAGCATTTCCTTTGAGAGGCTAATAAAGAAAGTCTAAGATCGATATAACATCTTGTTCTATTCTAAGCCAAAATGTAGGATTTCAGCCTATTAATTTGTCTTCTGTAAGTATTTAGGACAAGGCCGTTTAATTATTCAGTCCTTGGACAGTGAGAATTCAGCCAATCAGTATTTGTCGAGACGAGACTTGAGGTAGGGAGACCACTTAGGACATTTATTTAGTAGTCCAGGCAAAAGGGGATGAAAGCCTGTACTAGAAAAATGACTGTGTGAGTAAAAAGAAAGGGATAAATGGGAGAGGTAGAAATGACAAAGTTAACAACGGATTGGATACGTAGAGTCAGAGAGAGTAAAGAATTGAAGATAATGCCAAAGTTGAGAGCCTCAGTGACTAGAAAGCTTGATGGTGACCTGGAGAGAAATAGGGATATTTGCTTGAGGCATGGGTTCAGGGGAAATGATAGTGAGTTACGCTTTGGACATACTGAGTTTGAGATGACTATAGGACCTGCCATTGAGAATGTCCAGTGGACTGTTGGATCTCAAAACTGCAACTCAGTCGGTTGATTGATCGATTAATTACTGAATATTCCCAGTAATAATAACTTAATAACTGATGCTTTGCTTTTAAAGGTTTGTAAAGTGCTTTAAACAATCAATATGCATTTAATAAGTTACATGCATGTTCCAGGCATTGTGCTCAGTGCCGAGGATAAAAGGATAAAGCTGAAATAATCCCTGCCCACAAGGAGCTTACATTCTATTGGAGGTGATGACATATGCATACATAAATTTTCACAAAATTTATGCAAAATAAATACAAGTTAATTTGGGGGGAATGGTACTAGTAGTGGCAGGATCAAAAAAATGTCTTACATGCCAAGTGGCTTTGAGAGAAAATCATGGAGGCAGAAGTAACAACAGTGTACATTTCAAACAACTCATGCAAGCCTGTACACATACACACACACACACACACACACACACGAATGTATACACGTATGCATGTATGCACAAACGTGTATGTACATGCATGTTTAGGTGTGGCCTGTGCGCATCTGTATGTAGACACGTGTGTATGCATGTATAGGTATGCGTGTTACGCGCATATACACACATATAATTTAATTTGATCCTTCCAGCAACCCTTTGAGGTAAGTACTATTATCATTGTGCAGATGAGGAAACTGAGGATTAGGAAAGCCTAGTGACCTGTCTGTGGTCACACAAGTAGTAACCACAGAAAGCAAGATCTGAAGCCCTGATGTTCCTGACTACACCTCCATCATTCTTTCCCTTATACTGTGCTGCCTTTAATTTGACCAGTATTGTGCAAAGGTCTTTTAGGGAATACAAGAAAATGACAATGCAGGGACCTTTTAATTGTCTTAGGTAACAAGGCAGATGTATAGAGAACAACTAAGAACAGTGCAAATTAGTATAATTAGTATAATTAGCAGTGTGAAAGATAGATACGTAGGCCAGGGGTTCTTAACCTTTGTGTATATGTGTCATGAACCCCTTTGTCATTCTGTCAAAGCCTTTGTCAGAAAAAAATGTTTTTAAATACATAAAACAATATACATATAATTAGAAAGGAAACCATAGGCTCCACATTATGAACTCCCGGATTAGAATGTGGGCAATAAAAATGAAGAAGGGGTAATTCTGAGAGAGAGTAAGCACTAAGAAGGCAGGAACAGTGGCTTTCTAAATTTTGTATCTTATCCCGTTGCAATGTTTTGCACACGATGTTGTTGTTATTTAGTTGTTTTTCTGTCGTGTCTACTCTTCATGACCCCATTTTGGGATTTTCTTGGCAAAGATACTTAAGTGATTTGCCATTTCCTTCTCCAGCTCATTTTGCAGATGAGAAAAGTGAGGCAAACAGGGTTAAGTAACTTGCTCAGGGTCACACAGCTAGTAAGAATATGAGGCCAGATTTGAACTCAGGAAGACTCATCTTCCTGACTCCAGGCCCCAGTGCTCTATCCACTGTGCCACCTAGCTCCCCTTTGCATACAGTAGTTCCTTTATAAATATTAGTTGAACTGCTGATGTTTCATTCAGTGATACGGATAATAGTGATGTGACAGATGGCAAAACATTTTCACTAATGAAGATGGTCTTAAGCTTATTAATTATAAAGCATTTATTATACACCTATTGTGTTTGTAGAACTTGTCTAGCCAGTGCAGAGAAAACATAGTACCTAACTTTTAAGGAATTTGTGATCTAATAGTACTTAAAAGTACTTTTTGATTTCAGAGGAGGAAGGGATCATAGAGAGCTTGGAAGGCTGAGAGAAGAGGTAGATGTAGGCTGGTCCTTGAAAAATGGATAGGAGGTGGATAGGTTGGGTGGAGGGAAGTACACTGAGCAAAAAAATGTGATTGTGAAGAGGATCATCATGTTTTCATGGGACATTGTTGGGGAATAGTGAGAAAGCTGAAGAGTTAGGTTGGTATACAGTAGGGAGCCAAGGTGAGTTTCTGACAGGGAAGTCATGGTGACAATAGTGTCTAAGGAAGATTAGCCTGCATGATTGATTGAGATGGAGGAATCAGGGTGTGGTGGCACAGAAAATGGAGAGGAAGAAACTTCTGGAGAGAAACATTGACATAGATTGGTTACAGAAGCATTATTAGAGTAAAAAGAGCCTCAAGGTTTAGAATCAAGAGACCTGAGTTTGAATTATGCCTCCGACTAGCCTTGTGACCATACACATGTCATTTAAGCTTTTGGATCTCAATTTCCACATCTGTAAGGTAGTGCTTGGACTGCATACGTGAGAGGAGGAGAACATTTCTTCACCCCTAAATTGCTATAATAATTTGAGTATGTTATTATGATTATGAGACCGAAAAGGATGAGTATGAAAAGACTCCAAGAATAGGAACTTCCATAACCAGAAGATAATTAGCATCATTGACACTGGGAGAAATAGGAAATAATAAGTTTGTTTTCAGGCATGCTGGTTTTGAGATAACGAGTCTTCTAAGCAGGAAAGAGCAGGTAAACAGTTGGAAATAAGGAGCAGTGAGAGGTCAAGTCTAGAGATACAGACTTGAGAGTTTTTCCCAAGGGGGTGATAGTTGAATCTATGGGATTTCAAAGGGCCAAAGACAGTCTTGGAGAGTACTCAAAGTATGAGAGAGTCTAAAGGAGTCGTTAAAGCAGACAGAGGAGGAGATACGAGAGGTAGAAGAACTTTAGGGTAGTATCATGGAAGCCAAAGATGAAGAGTTAGCAATGCCTTCTATTATTAAGAAACAATAAGTATCATCACTCTGATGGCAAATAGTGAAGAAGAATTAAGAAGCCTCTTGATGAAGGTGAAAGAAGAGAATTTAAAAGCTGGCTTGAAGCTTAACATCAGAAAAACTAATATCATGGCAACTGGTCCCATCACTTCCTGGCAAACAGAGGGAGAAGAAATGGAAGCAGTGTCAGATTTTATAGTCTTGGGCTCAAAGATTGCTTTAGACAGCAACTGTAGCCATGAAATTAAAAGATGCTTTCTCCTCGGAAGGAAAGCTATGGCAAATCTGGACAGCATACTAAAAAGTTATGGGTTTTCCAGTAGCAACGTATGGCTGTGAGACTATAAGGAAAGCTGAATGCCGCAGAATCAATGCTTTCAAATTGTGGTGCTGGAGAAGACTTTTGAGGGTCCCTTGGATAGCAAGGAGATCAAATCAGTCAATACTTAAAGAAATTAATTCAGACTATTCACTGGGAGGTCATATACTGAAGCTAAAATTTAAATACTTTGGCCACATGATGAGAAGACAGGACTTGTTGGAAACGAAACTGATTTGGGAAAGATTGAAGGCAAAAGGAGAAAGGGGTGGCAGAGGATGAGATGGATGGATAGTGTCATGGAAGCAATGAACATGAGCTTGGATACATTTCAGGAGATAGCAGATGATAGAAAGGTCTGGCAAGCTGTGGTCTGGGGCATGGGGGGGGAACCTATGGCCTTGAGCCCATATGTGGTCTTCTAGGTCCTTAAGTGCAGTCCTTTCACTGAATCAAACTTCACAGAACAAATTCCCTTAGTAAAAGGATTTGTTCTGTAAAACTTGGATTACACGACTGAACAACAACAACAAAGCATCATTCACAGTGGGCTGACTCCCTAATATGTGGATTGAATATATCATAAATTAATGATATAAGGGGACGACAGGAAAATTAGGTAAAAACACTTAAAGCAATATGGCATAGCCATTAGTATTTAGGGAAAAAAAATAGCAGGCAAACTACACTGGCTGGGAACCATTGATGCATTTATTAATCATCTCCCATGTTCAGAACGCTATACTAAGTAATGGAAATACAAGGATTAAAATGATATAGTTCCTGTCCTCAAGAAGATTATATTCTAGTAAGGTGATCCAAGAAATACAGTTTTTAAAAAAATAGGATAGTATTGGACAAGAGATCCGGACAAAGTGGACTAGGAAAATTTGAGTACTTTAATATGGTTACAAAAAGCAACATACCCATGCCCAGTGGTTGATGTAGCCAAGATTCAGTTATAGTTTGTGGAAACTAGAATTTATTACTCACCTACTATATGCCAGGCAGTGTAAGTTCCAAAGATGTGCCTGGGCAGTAGAGAGTTGAAGACATAAGTGGAATTATTGCTGCCCTCAAGGAACTTAAAATTCTATGGGGCACGATGACACATAAACATAAGGTTATGTACAAAATATGTATGTGCAAAACAAAAAGATACCAAACAGTTCCATGGTAATTTGGTGGGCAAGGCAGTGGCCCCTGGGACAATGAGGAAAGGCCTCATAGAAGAAGTTGCATTTTATTTGAACTTTGAAAGAAGTTGGAGATCCTTAGTGGCAGAGATGAGATGGGGGTATATCCAGATATGGGGGACAGCCTGTACAAAGGAGATGGCATGTTATATGTGAGAGTAGCAATAAGTGGAAATAGGAGGTTTGCCTATACATGGCAAAAATGTTCTCCTGTTAGCATTTTTACCCTCCTAGTTCCACCTTCCTTATATTTTCCTTCCATCCATCCTTGTTCATCCAGGATTATGCATGCAACTCAGTTTCCATTCAACAAATCTTTATTAAATACCTACTCTTTGCTGAACACTGAAAGTACCGAAAATCATACAGTGATATGGAAAGAGGAGGTATAAGAATAGGACAGCAAAAACTTTTCTGATCTGGTCACACATGGTTCTTTATTTGGTTCATAAATATCCATGGGTAATAACATCAGTAGTGCCATCGTCAAACACTAAGGGATTTGCTGAAGGTTAATGTCAGCATGATTGCATGTGTTTTCTGAACTGCCTTGGATGAAAGATAGAACTTGGTCATTTGAAACCTTTTTCATGTTTTCATTCCATAGGCTTATCCATACAAAAAAAATCAAATCTGGAAAGAAGCCAGAGTTGACATTCCTCCACTCATGAGAGGTTTAACCTGGGCTGCCCTCCTGGGAGTTGAGGTAAGAATAAAAGAGAAGAGAGGCAGGTGAGTAATTGAGACCGATCAGAAATTCCAGGAAAAGATAAAGGAGAAGAATAAAAAGACTGCTTATATTCTATCTATTTCAAGTTATTACAAGAGAACACTAAAACAGCAGAACAGATAGCATGTTGGCAGCTTATTTAAATTCATTGCATTTATGTCTGTCATTTCTGACTAGATCAGAATAGTTTAAATTAGGAGAAAAAAACAATTTCATAGAAAAGTAACAAAATCAAAGTTAGGATGGAATCCTTTAATTAGATTTACTTTGATATTGAATTTTTTATTAAGGAATTCTGTAAATTAAAAAAAAAATCTTGATTCCATTTTAGGATAGGTATTGTGGAATATTGGAATTAGGAAAACCTGGGTCAGATCTATATAAGTTCCATGACTCTAAGCAAGTTACTTAACCTCTCTTGGCTCAGTTTCCTTGTCTGCAGAATGAGAGGATTGAATTCAGTGGCTTCCAAAGACCCTTCCAACTTTAAGTCTAAGATTCTATGAAAATAATATATTTTTTTAAATGGAGTGTTTTAATCATTTTCTTCTCAAAAGCTTTATTTCTAAATAGAGACCATAGTGCTAGCCTTAAATCAAGAAGATCTCAGTTCAAACCCTCATTTGATACTTACTAGAAGTGAGACCTTGGGCAAGTCACTCAATCTCTCAGTCAATTAACTCTCTAGGACTTTATTATATTATGGAGGGGTTGTGATTTGTGTTGGTGAGGGGGGTTCCCATAGTAGGAGTTCTCTGTTGTTACAAAGTCACAGATTCTTCGTGTATTTGCATAATCTTATATATCTTAAAATAATGTAGAAAGTTAGGTTAGTGAAACAAACTGTACAAAATCTGCTTATTCCCAAATTAGTTCTCTTGTCTTTGACTAGATATGCTCTGTCACAATCCAGTTCACATTAGGCAAGGCTGCGCTGATACATTTTCAACGTTTCAGTGATTTAATTATGATAATGGAAAGATGAGAGGCAGCATACATCCTTCAAGGGTGTTTTTAATGTTAGGGGTTAGGCTATCTATAGTCAAATGGAAAAATGCTCTAAATCACTGTTGATTAGAGAAATGCAAATTAAAACAACTGAGGTACTACCTCAAACCTATCAGATTGGCTAATATGACAGAAATGGAAAATGACAAATGTTGGAAGACATATGGAAAAATTGAGACACTAATACTTTGTTGGTAAAATTGTAAACTAATCCAACCATTCTGGAGAGCAATTTGAACTATACCCAAAGGGCTATGAAACTGTGCATAACCTTTGACACAGCAATACCTCTGCTAGGTCTGTGTCCCAAAGAGAATCCAAAAAAAAAGGGGGGGGGGGGACACCTGTATGTACAAAAATATTTATGGGCTTTTTTTGGTGGCAAAGAATTGGAAATTGAGGAGATACCTATCGACTGGGGAATGGCTGAATAATTGTGGTATATGCTTGTGATGGAATATCATTATGCTGTAAGAAATGATGAGCAGGTGAACTTCAGAAAAATCTTGAAAGACTTGCATGGACTGATGCTGAGTTAAGTGAGCAGAGCCAGGAGAACTTTGTAAACAGAACAGCAATATTGTATCAGGATCAACTGTGAAAGATGTAGCTATTTTCAACACTCCAGTGATCTAAGACATTTCTGAAGGACTTAACGATGAAAAATACTGTCCCCCTCCAGAGAAAGAATTGATGGATTTCTGAATGCAAATTGAAGCCTACTTTTTCTTGGTTTGGAGTTTTTTGGTCTGTGTTTTCTTTCACAACATGGCTAATATGGAAATATGTTTTACATGGCTTCACGTGTATAATCTATATAAAATTGCTTGCCTTCTCAAAGAGGGGAGGAGAGGGAGGAAAAGAATTTAATTTTAAAAATAAAGTTAAAAAAATTTTGCATGTAATTAAGACATATTTAATGAAATAAAAATATTTTGGAGGAAAAAATAGGGGTTAGGAGGAAACAAAATTGGCACGAGTCAAAGTGATGGGCCAACTCACAATCAGACCTTTCTCTGATAGTCTTCCTGTCACCCTGTATACCTGCCTCTGTTGACCTCTTACTAGACCCATTGGTCACCTTCTTCCTACTTAGTCTTCACCCTCTTGGTGACCATCACCAATCTCCAATCTCCTCAAACATGGTATAGTATATATGACCCTGGAATCTTGGGGTCAGGAAAGACCCTAATTCAAGTTCCACTTCTGGTTGCTTATGAGCTGTGTGACCCTGGGCAAATCATTGTAATGCCTCTGGGCTTCAGTTTCTTCATCTATAAAATGAAGAAATTGGATTCCTTGGCCTCTAGGGTCTCTTCCTAATCTAAATTTATGATCCAAATGTCTGTCATTCTGGTTCCTCCCCTAAACTCTTGCTGATTCCCACTACCTCAAATGTACCTGCTGTCGTAGTTAATCATTAACATTATTTCATGCTTGGTCTGACAGACTCTCATCTAAGCATAGAGTGGGCTCTCTGGGTTCTGAGAAAAATTTAGTCTGAATTTGGGTTGGAGTCACCTGTCAAGATTAGGTATTTGTACCTGTGGGCAGAGTCTAACATGGTTCTGCACTTGGGTTTTATGGAGTTTGGAATGGTGATTCCTGTTTCCAAATGGGCAGGCATATTATAATATGCTTTTGAGAAACCTCTTTTAAATCTTCCTAAAGATAGCGTCCATCCATATGTTGATAACTAATTAAAAGTTTCTGGGAAATAATAGTACTTTTTTTCCCCATATTTTCAGGGCGCCATTCACGCCAAGTACGATGCCATCGACAAAGATACTCCAATTCCTACTGACCGACAAGTATGGCTTTATTCTTCGTACACAATCTGCAATGTTTCTGCCACATTTTTAAATCTTAGAAATCTATAAGGAAAAAAAAAAGCTCCTTCAAAAAATAGCAGTCAGACTCAAGCAATGCTATGAAACCAAGAACTTCTGTATTATTTAGAACAGAGCCAGAGAAAAATTTCCAAATTAATGAATTGGTTATTTTTTCCCTAAAAGTTATGTACCTTAAAGAGTCTTACTCTATTTTGAAAAGAACTTGAAAATTATGCTTTTGCACATATTAATAGTGGTACTGCATATCAGTATTATTGGCATACAATTATAATTATTTGTGATGGAATTATAATATTCAGAACCCAAAGTAGGTCTTTTCCTTTTGTCTCTTAAGTATAGGTCTTATTTCTTCAGAGTATTTGAGTAACGTACCCATACATATTCACTTTTTCTGTTTCTTAGAGATTACAAAGGTAGTTTGCCCTGAAATGCACATTCCTTTCCTTATTTGGGTGTTTATTAAGCATTGCTGTGATTACCCTAATTCTACCGCAAGGACTGACTGTTTTACAGATCGAAGTGGATATTCCACGCTGCCATCAGTATGACGAGTTGCTGTCATCCCCCGAAGGCCATGCTAAATTTAGGCGGGTGTTAAAGGCTTGGGTTGTTTCCCATCCAGATCTTGTATACTGGCAAGGTAAGGGGGTCAATTCTGATTATGTCAGCTGTTCTTAGAAAGCTCTGTAGTAAGTGTGACAGATGATAGCTAGAAAGAGGGGGAGAGGGAGAGGAGTGCAATCATTGAGCGCTTACTATGTACCAAACACCGTGCCAAGTGCTGGAAACACAAATATAAACAAAAAGAAAGACAGTCCTTGCTCTCAGGGAGCTTACATTCTGACAGAGGAAGACAACCCAGAAAAGAAAGCTGAAAAAATGAGGAAGGGGAAATGGGAGAGAGATAAGGTTTGTAGTCCAGTGATCCAGGAGTAGAACTAAGATAGAAGTGACCAGGCTAGCTAGCTGGGGCATTTCCTCAGATGGGCATTGGGCAGGAACTCACCAATTGGAGGAGGGGGACACAGGGACAGAGGCATTTCCAGGATAGAAAGCTACTTCGTTGGTAGTGGAAAAGACAAATGATTGGCAATTTTAGAAATTAAAATTCTAATATTTCAAAATGTATTAAAATAGTTCATCTATGACTTTTTAAAGTGTACAGAAGCTATAATTTTTTTCAGAATTCATTATAAGAACTTTTTCCTTCAGTTGGTGAAAACTTTGGTCAGTAGCCCAGCAAATGCAAACATGACAAATTATGGTACAAGTAACCAGCAATTCTATTAGAAAAATAAGATTCAATTCAATAAATATTTAAGCACCTACTGTGTGTCAGGCACTGGGCTAAATTCTGGAGATACAAACAAGAAAATACATGACAGTCCCTGCCCTCAAAGAGCTTATAATCTAAAGGGGAAAGAAAATACACAAAAGGAAGTTGAAGGGCGGGGGTTGGGGCTGATTTGGAACTGGGGGGGGGGGGTACCAGATGCAGAGACACGGCATTTACTGGAACCAAGCCAAGCACAGCTGCTCATGGAAAATGGGGTCACTGCCATATGGAAAATGGAGAGGTACCTCTCAAGTCTATAAAGGAAGGCTTTGGAAGTTTATTGCTCCAATCAGAGGGACAAACTAATTAAGGGAGTCAAGAAGGTGTGAAGTGTCTGAGTCAGTCTGCATGGTGATGAGCAGGGAGGGCGAGAGGAGGGGATGATGTTCCATGGAGTCAGACCAAGCAGAATAGCTGATGGAAAATGGGCAGGAATTGTTTTTCTTGTTTTTATATCTCCGGTGCCCATCACAGTACCTTATAAATAGTAAACATTTAATAAATGTGTATTGCATTGAATATTCCTTTACTGGTAGAGTGAAGAATATCTCAACACAATAATCATCAACTAATATGTATTTCCAGTTGAATGTATTAGGGATGTTTGTTCAGTTGAGTAAGTTTAGGTGAAGAGGATCATTATATATGCCTGTAATTCCATCAAACTGGATTTGTGAGTGTTCTTTTCCCTCGTAGGCCTTGATTCTCTCTGTGCTCCATTCCTGTATTTAAATTTCAACAATGAAGGTAAGCATCTTTATGGCTTGAATAATGTATTTGTAATTTTTAATACATTTGCATTGAGTTTCTCGCCTGTAAGTCTTTGCCATGTTGAAAGTTGCTATTAAATTACTGTGGCACTATTCCTCTAAAATATTGTAGTGTTCTGATAGAATTATTGTACTTGTCTAAGACCTTTTCTTATTGAGCAGTAAGTTATATAGATTTGTGGGAGAATATGGCCTAGACTCCTAAACTTTTGCAGTATACTATGTCATAAATAGGCCTTTTTGATGGGAACCTGCATGCAGAACCTAATTTCCTAGAAAGCTTTTAGGTATTTCACAGAATCTCAGAATTGGAAGGGCTCTCAGGAGCCATTTACTATAACACATATTTGAGCAAAAACTGATAAGCGAATTCAACTTTTCCTGGATTTTCAGTGAGAGGGGAAAACATTCAGGTAGCCCATTCTAGCTCAGAATGTAAGGAAATTTACCATCACATAAATCAAAAATCTACCTCTCTTCAGCTTTCACCTATTGTTGCTTGTTTTGCCCTTGGAGCCAATTCCTTTTACTCAACGGACTTTCAGATAGTTGAAAACAGGTATCATGTTCCCTCCTAAATCTTCTCTTTTTTCTGCAGGCTTGAAGTCTCTAGTTCATTCAGCCAGTCTTCACAGGATATGATCGTGAGGATGTTTACCATCCTAGTGGCTTTTCTTAGATGCTATCCAGAATAGCAACCTTAGATCAGAACTCAGTACTTAAGATATGGTCTGACCAGGACAAAACACAGTGCAGCTACGATCACATCATTAGTCTTGAACACTGCAACTCTCTTTCTCAGCCTGATTGCTTTGCTTTGTTGTCTGCTGCTCTCTCATTGTTGACTCATATTAAGTTTGCAAGCTATTAAAACCTTAAGATATTTTTTCAAAATTTTTGCAACAAGTATCTCTGATAAAGGCTTCATTTCTCAAATATGTAGAGAACTGAGTCAAATTTTTAAAATTACAAGTCATTCCCCAGTTGATAAATGGTCAAAAGATATGAATAAGCAGTTTTCAGGTGAAGAAATCAAAGTTATCCATAGTCGTATAAAAATGCTCTAAATCCCTATTGATTAGAGAAATTTAAATTAAAACAACTCTGAGGTACCATCTCACACCTATCAGACTGGCTAATATGATTGGCTGTTGGGGGGGATTTGGGAAAACTGGAACACTAGTGCACTGTTGTTGAGGTTATGAACTGATCCAACCATTCTGGAGAGCAATATGGAACTGTGTCCAATGGACTATAAAACTGTGCATATCCTTTGATCCATCAATATCACTTCTAGGTCTGTATCCCAAAGACATCCAAAAAAAGGGAAAAGACCCTATTTATACAAAAATATTTATAGTAGCTCTTTTTGTGGTAGCTAAGAGTTGGAAATCAAAGGGATACCCATTAGTTGGGGGATGGCTAAGCAAGCTGTGGTATTTGATTGTAATGGAATATCAGTGGGCTATGAGAAATGACAAGCAGAATGATTCAGAAAAATCTGGAAAGACTTACATGAACTGATGCATAGTGAAGTGAACAGAACCAGGAGAATGTTGTACACAGTAAGAGCAATATTTTTCGATGAAGAACTGTGAATGGTTTAGCTGTTCTCAGCAATACAATGATGTAAGACAATCCCAAAGGTCTAATGAAACACATTATCTGCCTTCTGAGAAAGAACTAATATTATTTGAATACAAACTGAAGCGTACTATTTTTCACTTTCTTTCTTTCATTTTTTTTCTTTTTTTTTTGAGCCTTGTACAAAATGACCAGTATGGAAATGTTTTACATAATTGCACATGTATAACCTATATTTGATTGCTTACCATCTCAGGGAGGGAGTGAGGGATAGAATTTGGAACTCAAAACTTTAAATAAAAGTTAAAAAAAATTTTAAAAAAATATTTTTTCAGACGAACATCTTTCTAGCCACTTTTGTTTTTATGCAATTGATTTTTCTAGCCCAAGTGTAAGTTGTTACATTTAGCTCTTTTAAATTCTACCTTATTAGATTCAGCAGAACAAGCCTGTCAAGGTCTTTTTGATTCCAATCTCTGTCATCTCTTGTGTTTGCTATCTTTCTCACAATTGTGTCATATCCATACTTGAAAGGTTTTATGCCTTGGACTTTATCCAAGTCATTGGTAAACATGGTAAATAACCCCAGGACGAGCACAGATTCCTGGGCCATTCCACTAGAGACTTTCCAAATTGATAGAACAATGGTTCTATCAATATCAATAGCTATTCCTTGAGTTCAGTCACTTACCAAGTTCTTAATCTCCCTTACTCTGTCTTTCCCCTAGGAACGGCATAAAAAGCTTTATCAAATGCTTTTCTCAAATAGATGTAGACTGTATTTACAACACTTCTCTGATCTAGACCTGTCATCTTATCCAAAAAAGGTTACACATGCATGACTTGTTCTTGAAAAAGTCAGATTCGGTCTTTATAATCATTGCTTCCTTTTCTGTAATCACTGATCACCCCTTTAAATCAAGGGTTCTTAAACCTAGGATCCATGACTTTAACATTTTAATAACTATTTCAATATAATTGCTTTCCTTTGCAATCCTATATATTTTATTGTTTGAATTTAATAACAGTATCCTGAGAAGGAATCCATAGATTTCAATAGATTTCCAATCGAGTCTATGACACTCACAAAAAAGAATAAGGACCCCTCTTTTAAACAACACATTTTAGAATTTTCCCAGTAAACAAAGTAAAACTTATTGGACTATAGTTTGAAGCATCTGTTGTAATTTTTTTTTTTTAATTTGGGAAATTTACTCTTCACCTTACTTTGCCTACTCCTTTCCAAGCACTGTGCGAAGTAGAAGGAGACAAAGACAAAAATGAAATTTTCCCTGCTTTCCCGGTTCCCGTCATTTTCACTTCAGTTGGTGAGAATTGGATCCTAAATAAAACTTGTCATATTAGTTCCTCTACTTTTTGAAAAATGAAATTGTCATTAAGGCAAATCAAGGAATTATTAGCTTAAGATGGAGAATTTGAATAGATGTTTGGATAATTGAAGTCCCTCCACCCCCATCACTACTCTAGAATGTCCCTTTGTGCCAAACGCATTATCTGTTTCCCAGATTCCTCATTGAGAGCATCCTTTTTCTGTATTCATAATCTGTAATTCATGATTGTGGGGGGAAGGACACTCTGGATATATAATTTCATTTGTTACCAATTTCCTGAAAGCCTTATTCCCTGCAACTCTCTCCTTAAACGTTCTGTCTAGTGACTCGATGCCCTTATAATTTGCCTAGTTTTAGGGGGATGCATTTCAGCTCTAACCTGGGGTATTCATGTTCCTGTAATTTGGGGTGGTAGCCAGTGAGGCACCCACTGTGATAGCATTTCCTTATGCCTCAAGTTCTTCACACATTTTATTGAGATGTAGCCTCTTCTTTTTTTCTTCTTTGTTAAAATTTATTTATTTATTTTTAGTTTTCAACATTCACTTCCATAAGATTTTGAGTTCCAAATTTTCTCCCTATCTCTCCCCTCTCCCCACTCCAAGATGGCGTGCAATTTGATATAGGCTCTACATGTACATTTTTTTTTTTTGGTGAGGCAGTTGGGGTTAACTGACTTGCCCAGGGTCACACAGCTAGTAAGTGTCAAGTGTCTGAGACTGGATTTGAACTCGGGTCCTCCTGACTCCAAAGCCAGAGCTCTATCTACTACATCACCTAGCTGCCCCTTTACATTCATATTGAAGCTATATTCACGTTAGTCATGTTGTAAAGAAGAATTGATGTAACCTCTTCTTAAGAGTTATTATCTATGTACACTCTGGAAGATTTTCACATATTTAACTTTAAGGAATTAACTTGCTTCCTATTATTTACATTGCCAGATATCAATATATGAAACTTCAAAGGAACCTATACAGGGATGCATTTTTGTTTAGTTTTTGTTTGTTTTTGCCACAGAAACTCCTTAAACACTACTAACTAGTATTCCTAGATTGCACATTTGTAGTGTACATTTCATATATATTATGGGGCATATATTAAGTCTCCTCGGGTTCATAGAGTTCATTGATAATAATCATCTGTAGCTTTAGGAATTTCCTCCTGTTGAAAGCATTTTATTTTTAGTTAAAAATAACACTTTGGACAAGAGTGATTTCAGTAATCTGAAACTCGAAAGGGTCAAGTATAATTATCTTTTTTGTTGAAAAGTCTTTGCCACTTTCAAGTCCCTTTATCTAATTTGTTATATGCCTTTTCCCAATTCTTTTTTAGCTCTTGCTTATGCTTGTATGTCTGCTTTTATTCCAAAATACCTGTATAACTTCTTTTTGAAAGACAACTCACATGTCATACAAGGTAAGTGAACAGCTTTCCTAATTTTTATTTATGGGTAAACAAAAATAATAATGATAGCTGATCCTTAATTAGAGCTCTAAAATTTACAAAACGCTATATGTATTTATGTATGTGCTGGAGAAAGAAATGGCAAACCATTCCAGTATCTTTGCCACAGAAAACCCTAATGGGGTCACAAAGGGTCAGACATGACTGAAACAACTGAACACATTTATGTATGTGTATGTTATATTGTATTATATTAAATTGTATTGTACTATATATTATATTAATTATTTCATAACAATCTTACTATAGCTATTATTTTCTTTATTTTACTAAGGTAACTACTGAATAATAAATTTGAGGGGTGGGGCATAGTAATTTTTGAAGACTGACTACTAAGCCATAAAAGGTTTACTGGTAGAAGTACCCACACTGATGAAATCATGTATCTTGAATTATTGAAGTATTTAATCAATGACCACTTATTTAACACTTATTGTGCACCAAATATCTGGGAACACAAAATCAAAAGCAAAACAGTTCCTGCCCTCAAGAAGCTTACGTTCAAATGGAGGCGACAACATAAGTGTGTGTGTGTGTGTGTGTGTGTGTGTGTGTATTACTATGTATAGAATATCAACAGAAGTCATTTACATATACAAAATGAATACAAAGTAGATTGTGAAAGGTGGGCACTTGTCAGTTGGGAGATTCAAGAAAGGCCTTTTTTAGAAGGAGATATTGAGTCTAGATAGGCGTCCAGTGCAAAGACATGAAGGTAGAATGTGGAGTTTTATATATGAGGAACAAACGTAGACCAGTGACTAGGTTTTGCAGAGAGAGGGAGGAAAAAAGGAGGGGAGAGGGGATTAAGCTCTTGCTCTGTGCTAGGGATCATGCTAAGCACTTAGTCCAGGATAGATCCAAATTTATGTAGCATTTTGACAGGTACAAAAATACTTTTCTTACATTATCTCATTCAACCTGACAGCTACCCTAAGAGACACATTCTGCAAGTATATCATCCTCATTTTGCAGATCAAAAAATTAAGTTACTTAGCCATGGTAATGTAATTATTATGTTTCACAGGCAGAATTCAAATCTGGGTCTCTCATAAATAGAAGTGCATCTAAAATTTAAAATCTTTTTAGGGCTTTCAAAGGACTGTGTGGTTTGGACATTGTTAATTATCATATGAATTCAGTTTAGTTCGAATAAAGAACCCTAGCCTGGAGATTTAAAAAGTATGTAGAAACTATTAAAATCTCACTATGTCTAACATTTCTAGACTTCAAAAACACATTTGACTTATTAGAGCAAACTGCTTCCTTAAAAGCCCTCTTCATACAAGTTGCTTTGCATGCATATGTTAAAATTATGCAAGATTTTACAACGAGAGGCAGAGATAATTTTTCGAGTTCAATATTCTCTTAAGTATCAAAATCAAGTGAAGTTTACAACAAATACACACACACACACACACACACACACACACACACACACACACACAC